AGGAATTTTGTATACAATCTCATAAATAATAGCTTATTTTTCAGAAAAATTGCACGAAGCACCAAAGCTGCTGTGAAGTCCAGAGAAATGGCATCTACTAGAACTACCTGTGCGGGTGACATATACCTTGTACGAATTACATGTTCCCGAATTGTTCTATCTTCTTCCATATTTAGTAGTCTTCGACTTTTGTCTCCAAATGTCTTGTCTAAAATCAAATGGATTGCAAAGCAACCAAGACGGAAAGACGAAGCAGTAGCCTTCTAAGGAACTGTTCTGACGTAGACCGAAGACGAGAGTCCAATCGGCAGGCAAGATGGGCTGATAAGCAAAAGTTAAGACGAAAAATTTATTTAATATGTGTATGCATCCTTGATCAATAACTGTCGTAGATGTTACTTCTGTCGATGGTTGATTGATGTCCTCCTGACGTAACGCATACAAAAACCTAACCTGATTGAGCCGGCTTGCTCGTGAATCATGATTGTCCTCGTGCAAATTGCTAGTGAATCATGATTGGACACGTTTTTATTTGTTCTTGGACCTTCTTTCGTTCCGTCGACAAGTCATTACATGTTCTATAAATCATGTGAATTAATGATGAACTTGATCTACATCTATAGACCATGCAATAATTTTTTTCTCCCCATTAAGCAAAACACACGAAGAATTCCAAATCTACAAAAATCTTGGAAAGTAGATAGTTTCTCTAATCAACCATCAAAACTTGCATCAGATGTGATAATATATACACGAGGAAGTAGGAAGGAAGGAACATTACAGGAGAGCCCAAAATTGACTTGAAAGAAAGAAAAAGGAGCAAAAAAAAAAACCAAACAATCCCTCTTAGGAAGGAGGTCGGAGCTAACGGTTCACTTGTTCTGGGTAGGGTTCGGCCCACTCTTCGGCGCTCGCCTAAGGCTCGGCTCCACAGCTTTCTTGGGCTGAATACTCTCGCGGGTTGTCGACCGGTCGAAGCCCGTCGAGACAGAGGCCCTCGTGGCCAAGAGTTTCCTCGAGTTCATCGTGTTTGAACTCTTCTCCGATGTGCCCAAACCACTTCCCTTTCCGTGGCAAACCGACAATGAGAAACACGAGACGAGAATGCAGACTAAGAGCAAGGCAGCGAGAGGAAGGAGATGAGCTCTGCAGCTGAACTTCATCGTTAGCAAAGTGTTTGAGTGAGAGCGAAGGAAGGAGAATTCAAAGAAAAAGATGGGTTGAAAAGTCGGACGGTGATGGGGTTTGTTTTTATATATCAAGAACGTGGAGGCAATAGGCATGCTGCATAGTAGTGGCTTCACGTGATTAACGATAAGCCAGAGCTTAATAAATCCAAAAAAAACACGGTGTGCTTCCACTAATCTTTGTATAACATATGGGAATGGAAGTCTCTTCAGTTTTCACACTCCTTTGCAACAGCTTATGGAGTGAGAGCTTTTGAAAAATGTTCATGTGGGGGCTGATTTTCGTACCACGACTTTCTTATTCGATTGGGAGCGAGGACGCCGCTGATCACGTGATGGGTGAATTGACTATTGCCAAATTGGCACTGCCTTTTCTGATTCTGAATTGAATGCAATTGTCGAGCTTGGACTGAATTACCAGCATCATGTGACTTAGCACATGACGCTCTGTATTTAATTGGAATCCAGAAAGTTGAAGCACTTTATATCTATCTTCTTTTTGTTCTGATCAATCAAAGCACCTCATGTTATTGTTTGCCACTGTTGGGGTCTTCATGTGCCTGGTATCTTTGATCCCCTCTTGCCACCCTAGGATTAACCGTCAGGGGAGGTTAGTCACCACTGAGGTGGTTGATTTGTTGATAAGAGGGGTTTGTGTTCCATAGGTCACGAGCACGGTTCATGTCGTAAGCGAATCTCCGAACGGTTAGTGACGCGTTGCCTAACTGCAGCGTATTTCGTGAAAAGAGACTTCCGGCTGCTAGCATCTTGGTAGAGCTGCGGGGACGGGCATGCCAACCTCAAATCTACGAGTCATAGGAAGCGCGGACAGGTTGTGGATCAGTCCGAACATTCTATAGTGGGTGTAAGACTCTTATGCTACACTCAAAAGAGATCACTAACATTGGTTTTTCCTTTTCGTTTGTTTTACTTATAAAAAAAAAATCTAGTGAAGGTTAATTCAATATCTCTCATGCTCTTCTGTCTTCCATCAAAGCACGGGCTTTTAATCTCATGAGCGAGATGAACTTGATAAGAAAACTGGTCCGCATATGTTTATAAGGAGATAGTTGCGGTCTATTTGAAGGTTAATAAGGTTGCGATAAAGAGACTCACCAACAAACTTTTTGAGTCATAAGTGAGCCAAATACCTGTGGATCAAATCAAATATTTACAACGCATTTGGAACTTCTATGATAGCTTAGGGGTTACTAATGCCAATCGCCCCTTTTTCTTCTTTCAAATATAGTGCAACTCGGCTGTAGTGGCCTTCTCAACCCGTCTCAATCCCAACAGGTCCTAAACGAGTTTCGGGAGCCCAATTCCCATTACGAAACTACGTAAAAGGTTTGGTGCCGAGTGAAATTTACCTAATAGGTGAAATTAAGGTAAGTTAATAATCCAATTACATAATTACCATATATGCTTTAGAGTTACCTATCTAAAAACTCTATCAACTTTTTTACCCGAAAAGTCAATTACAATCCCAATGTTCTCTTACATCAACCATCATTTCAACTTTAACTTCTCATTTTATGATTATAGTTAGTTCTCCAGCTAATGTTAGCTGGCTTGTCAGCTAAAATTTGAGCCTCATTCCTCGCGTGATGTACTTTCCAAAAACTGATCACTTCCTCGGATGCCCGATTTGTTTTCCCTGGACTGATAGCTGGACGGCAGTAAACGAGATTGGATTTTGGGGCAAATTCTTGAATAGTCATTGCCACGAAATACTGACAATGTCAAGATCCCCATCCACAGAGCAGGCAATTTTTTAATCCTGTGAGTTCGAGAGAAGTGATGCTCGTGATGATGAGGTGATGTCACAAGACCTTGGTGGATGACTCATGGCCTTAAATTTTACCTTCTAAACACTGATTGAGAGAGTCTGTCGCAAATTAGACCTTGAAGAAAGAGTGGCCAAACTCATCTGGCTATATCCCAAAACTGACCCAGAAGGCAAGACATGCCATTGCAAACGATGTTTTGGAAAAACATACTGAGCTGGTTGATTCAACCAAATTCATCTGGATCCCACTCCGGTTCTTTGGCCGGTATTTTCTGGGTCAGTTCGATCTTGGCCGTTTCAACTCGATTTAACCATGTGCCGATTCAGCAGTCCAGGTCGGTGGCCTAGTCGCCGTTGCCAACTAAATGAACCAGTCACTGGAAGAGTTCTACCCTTGACATACTGCAATGATGTTTCTGATTGCTAACTAGTGTTGTACCAGCATTTTCATTTTGAGCTATATATGACTTGAAGAGTCTAATCTAGCGCAGAGTAGAAATGAAAACAAGACCGGTTTCCACGCGTACCAGCAAAATGATCTAATCTGCACGAGTCTATTTGCTTTCACTTCGTTCCAAGTATTCAGCTCTTCGGAAGCCCACAGGAGAAAGATGACTTTCCTTTTAGGCCTAAATCCATATGCAGCACTCCCATCAACAGCGACAGGAAATATACCTAAGATCACTATGCTAAGTTTGCACTTGAGCTGAAGAGCTGAACAATCATGGCTTTTGATTCCAGAAAAATCACCAGATCTATGATGACCCACGATGGCATAATTCTAAAGTCTCCGCAAATGAGTTTCAGAAATGAGAAGGCTTTCCTTTGCAAGCTTCTTACAACAACTTAAAAACCGGATGGCAGCAAGCAGATAGGCAGAGATAGCCATTGTATCAGCAACTCTAATGATGAGCACTTTAGACGTTTAAGAGCACGGGGGAAAACTTCTCACCTCAACCACAACAGTCGAAGGCTGAAGTGATTTGCAAAGCACAACTATGGAGCCCGAGGATTTGGCCCATATTTTCGTCAATGAATTCTGATCATCACCTAAACACAACAGATATGCAGGAGCTTTTTCCTAATGAAACAGCACGAAGCCATGTCTATACTTGCTTGACAAGAAGGAAGCACAGTGGAGAACAATTTAAAGAGAACAATATTACCCGGAAAGGGGAGGAGAAGCAATTCAGACGCCACTTTGTGAATTGACGAGCAGCTCAAAGGAAACGTTCCTAACAAAATGAGTCCACAAGTGCCTCCTCAATCAGAATTAATCAGCTAACAAGTCTTAGAACAGCCTTCTCAGGTCAGGTCCCAAAAGACGAACCAGAGGGCTACACACTGTGGGGAGCAGCCCCAACACGGGATACCAGGGTCACAATTAGTAACCACAATGATACAAACGATAGTGGGCACTTTCCTTGTGCCGATACGTTAAATGAATCAGCTTCATGTTCTTTAGTTATGCAGATCATACTTCACAAAATCTCAAGAAGGATGCAGACTTTGTATAAGACAAACAAGGTACAGACAGGCCAGCATGAAGAACTTGGAAGCCAAGGAACACAGATTTAACCATCAAGAAAGAATCAGTCTCGAGAATTAGCTTAAGCTCCTCCATCTCAAAATACTGCGGTCCCAAGAACTAGAACTGAAGATGTTGGCTCTATGAATGAAACAGAGGAATAGACACTAAAGAAAGCAGCAGAAATGTTCGGGATACAGATTGCTTCCTGTCTCTTGCCACACAATCTAGTATGAACGCAAATCGACAGGAAAGAAAGCAAATAATGCAGCACGAGTGAGGTACAACAGACAAAAAAGAAGGGTATCTCATGTGCATCAGCTTAAAAAACTTAAACTTTCACTGCAGTGCTGGATATCATTATAGACCTAATAAAAAGTTTGAATCACCAACAGAGCAAACAATCTTCTTTCTTAACAATATATGTATAGCATAGCATGTGCGTCGACTATACAGAAGAAAAAGGCGGAAATGGCTCGGATAGACCCAACGGAAATACCTAAAGGAGCGATTGTGCATCATCTGTATACGATGCAACTCCTTACAGGAAAAGAAGGGTGATTGCTACTTATTCCCCACGAGCGAACCATGAAGACGCAACCCGAATAACCAGAAAACATCTACCCAATTCAATAACCAAAAAGAACATTATTCTAAACCCATTTACAATAGACACTTCCCGGGAAATTGAAATGCTAAAAGCCAATTCATAGAAATCTCCAAAAAGAACAAAAATCCTGAAAACTGTAGATATATAATCACTCAGCCTATCGTCTTCCATGCCAGCCATAAGGCGCCTTGCGCTAATGTCGACGAATTCAAGCGCCAGAAGCTCCCTTGAAGGACTTCTTCAACTCCTCACCCACGTCCGCTTCCATTGATTTCCCAGAATAAGCACTTGAATCCATCGATGGTTTCTTACCATTGCCTCTACTATCCACTTTAGCACTGGAATGCCTGTTTCCATTCCTCTCAAATTCCCTGTACTTGCTCGAATCCGTCCCAACCACTGGCGAATTCGACTTCCTAGCCGAGAACTCCTGCCGGAGATCCTCTATCGCCTTCTTCAGGGACCCGTTCTCGGCTTGCAACACCTCCAGCTGATGCTTCATCGAGAAGCAAGCCTCTGCCACATCAACCCCGCCGGCAAATTTCGGCTCCGGGGCCACCTTAGCAGCCGCCTTCGAATTCGTACTCTCCACATGCTCAATCCCGATCTTATTCATCACCAGGAACGGAATCTTCGTCAGCTTAATACCCGACCCCCCCACGCCCTCCATTTCCACAGGAACCCTAACTCCCCAACGGAAGCTGACAGCGGCGTTCCTCCTCACCGGCACCGCAGTCCTGGCCGCCACCTCCATTCCAGACAGCATGCCCGATAGGATCCCCGCCGGGGAGTCCGGCGTCGGAGCCGTTATCCTCTTCCCGAAGAACGTGACGTTCTCCGGCAAGAACCCGCCATTCGTCGCGGCCGGCGCCTCCACGACCTCGATCGTGGGATCCTCCTCCGCGACGGCGACGGCGACGGCGCCGACGCCGTTCCCCCCGAACCCCGGCCTCGCGGCCTTCTCCGAGGAGGAGGACGACGACGACGACTGCAGCTTCTTGATGGAGAAGTCCCCGAAGGCGGGGCGGAAGTGGAGCATGAACCGGGGGCTCCCGCGGCGGACGAGGTCGAACTCGGCGGACATGGACACGGAGCCGGCGGCGGGGGAGCCGAGCGGGCCGGTGCCGGTCCTGACGGCGAGGGAGAAGGGGCTGGCGGAGTCGTTGGGGCGGTAGGAGAGGCGGAGGGAAGGGCCGGAGCCGAAGGAGGTGCCGAGGTGGAGGGCGAGCTCCCGGGGCTCGCCGGCGACGACGCCGGACTGGAAGGGGAGGCCGAGGATGCTGAGGGGGACCTTGGCGCGGATGAGGGGCTTCCGGTCCTCGCGGAACTTGAGGGAGGCCTTCATCCTCCGCAAGGGTTTCTGGGGAAGGAGGATGGAAAATGGGTGGGGTGGGGGTGGGGGGGATTTGGGGAGATGGGAATTCGATCTCGGGAGCGTCGAAAGGGGTTCGAGGTTTCGAAATTCGAATGGAGAAAAGATTTGATTTTTTTTTTTTGGTGGGGTGGTTTTGAATTCGGGATGAAGAAGAAGAAGAAGATGAAGAAGGAGAAGGAGAAAGGAGAGAGGGATTCGCGCAGAGGAGAATCCGCCAAGTTTCGGAAGCTGACTGACTGTGAGCGAAACTCAGCTCAGCTCACAGACAGCGGGGAGAGAGCTTACGTGGCTGCTCGTGGCCCCGTTGTCGGGTCGGGTGTTTGCTGTTTTGCTGCTGCTGCTGTTCGGCTTCGGCTGCGGTTTGTGTTCGGAGACGGAGGGGGGAGGAACGGCCGGATGAGGGGGGGGCGGGACACGTGGCGCGTTCTCATCCGTTTGAAATTTTTTTAGAAATTTTTTATGGAGGCCTCGTACGGTGGGATACGAGAGATTTTCTTTCCCTTCCCTTTTTTCTCTTCCTAAAAATGTAACTCTCGATCTTTGCATCTTTTTTTTTTTTTTTCAAAATGTGCTTTTGGTGCATTTGAATATCTAACAAGGAAACTCTCATTTGAAATCAATTTGTTTCGCTTTCGGAATATTTCGGGAAATTATCTAAAAAGTCATTACACTTTTGCGTATTTAGTCCTAAACCCTTTTTAATTTTACAAATTGAGCCGTAAACATTTTCGCATTTTGCTAATTGAGTCCATCCAGCCAAAATTGATCGGAAATTGCTGACGTGAACGCCGACCGTCTTATGTGACACGATCAGTGCTAACGTTGGGCCCTCATCTAGGCTGGGCGAGGGTCACTAACCCTCGTTTGTGGTTGGCGATGGTTGGTCGACGAGTTCGTCGACCATAGTTGGGAAAAAGAAAAATAAGTATAAAATTAATAAAAAATTAAAGTATTATTAAAAATTATTCACGTTAGCATCGACCGTGCCACATAGGACGGCCAGTGTCTATGTCGGCATTTTTTTACCAAAATAGGCCGGATGGACTCAATTGGGAAAACGTGAAACGATTTATGACTCAATTAGCACGATTAAAAGGTTTAAAACTGAATTGACAAAAGTGCAATGGATTTATGACTTTTTGAACTTTTCTCAAACATTTCAAAGGGTAAAAGCCACCAAAAATCCCAAACTATGCCCATTATGATACATTTACCTTAAACATTTTTCTGTGACACAAAAAATCTCAAATTTGTACTTGTGTGACACATTTACCCTCCATAAATGAGTACCGTTAAAATCTACATACATGAATGCCGAAATGCAAACGGTATTGACATGATACCCACGTGACTTAAGTGAGATAAAAACATTATTTTGGCTGAAAAATCATGTGATAGACCCTTAATGGAGGGAAAATGTGTCACATAGGTACAAGTTTGGAGTTTTTTGTGTCACAAGAAAATATTTAGGGTAAATATGTCGCAATGGGTATAATTTGTGATTTTTGATGTCACACAAAAAAAAGTTCATGGCAAAGCTCACAAATGTATGTACCCATCGTTTGCAACAACACATACTTAGTGCTCAAGAGACAATAGAAGTGGAAGTGGCGACTATAGTGTTCATGCGTATATGATCTTCACAAATCTACCTGATGGATAAAGAATCGATTTTTACATGCGTGAAGAACACTCATCATTGCATTCTCTAATTTCAGCTCACATTTGTTAGAAAAGTGTTAGTGAAATATTACTTGCCACAGCTGTTATCAATGCCCACCAGATCCAAGCACGACGAAGAAGCCATGGTTTTTCATACTGATCCTGTTCTTCTCATTGGAAGTGCATTACACTTCAAGCTCAAAATGTACTTACTTTCATGGTTGCATTAAAACTTAGAAGCACATGAAACCCTGCTTCCAAACCCTGTGTTCGAGCAGATGCTCCGACTAAACTTGACTGTCGAAATCATGATATCCGAGTAAGGTCTAGCAAAGCTTGACCCTACAAGCGTTTGCTACGAGCAATCAAGGACAATCAATGTAACATGCAGCAGTGTGGCTACCAGCACCACCTTGATGGTGGTGGTGCTAGTTTCCTCGTCCACATGCTTTGTTACGTGTTTCCCGTCTCACCCAGGACCACACTATTTTAACTGCTTGCCCACTAGAGCACGTAGTTGGCTTATACTTCCACGAAAGTAACAAATGCCCGATGACTACAGAGCAGTCTCGCTCAGACTGATCACAAGCGGCCCGTATCAACCAAAACTTGAACAGCAAACTATGAGACAAATGGATGACTCCATTCCAAAAGAAAGAGCCAAAGGTTGCAATGATACATGTCCGAAGAAAAGGGTCTTAAAACATTCTCTCTCAAATGATATTTTCTTGGTTTTAGCATGTTAAAACCAACCACAACAGAATGAACCAAGCGAAACAGGCAGATAATCCTGTTCTGGAGAACTGGTGCCAGAATTGGAGCCGCAGGAGGGGACAGCATGAAAGGAAAATGAACTAGAAGCACTTATTTTTGCTACTCCAAAATTTTCTGCAGAACCCACCAAACAATGCACGTTTCAAACACCGGCCTTACTTAGATCTTGGAATATCAAGATTCTCAAATATTGGGCTGTCAACTCCGACGCCCATTGCGTTGAGACCATTATCGACATATAGGACAGTGCCGGTGATGGCAGACGCCAAAGGCGATGCCAGGAATGCAGCAGCATTTCCAACCTCCTCTGTGTTCATTGAAAAGAAGCCGAGGAACAGGAATTAGAAATGGCAGTCGACTGGATTTCTAGACCACACTTGCACTTAACCAATTTTCATTACAAATGGCTAAAATGCTTGATTGCTTCATGAACATTGTTAAAACAAAAGGATAACAACTGCGGTAGCAGTGGATGACTCACCAGCTGATAGTTCTTTCTGCAAGGGTGCATTTTCCAGAGAGTAGTCGATCATCATGTCAATAAAGCCAATTGCTTTTGCAGCACGACTTCTCAATGGACCTGTTGATATTTCGCATCGCGACATCATTGAGATAACATTAAAAGGAACAAAGAAAGTGAGATCTGCTAGAAAAGCTCCAAACTGTACCTGCAGATATTGTGTTCACTCTTACTTTATGTTTTCTCCCGGCTTCAAATGCCAGCACCTGCAGTAATCAAGCAGGAAAAGAAGCAGGCATCAGGGTCATATGATAAGCTATTGATCTAAATCGGCAGATCCCAGTATAGATCCATTGAGGAGGGTGAGGAGAAGAAGCACGTCATGTGGGAAAAGGACAAAAGGAGAAGAAAAACCTACTCGTGTGTCACTCTCTAGAGCAGCTTTTGCTGAACTCATCCCTCCTCCATACCTGCAATATTAGATAAGTCAGCTAGAAATCTCATTTACAGGACTGCACCTAAATAAAGCAAATGAACAAATACCCAGGAATGATCCTCTCAGATGCAATGTATGTCAAAGAGATGGAAGCACCACCTGTAAGACAAACCTACCGTTAGCAAGACTGACTGGTGCATTTCTAGGACTTCTTGTCAAGATATGAACATAACAGCGCCGACTGATGGTCGTATCAGGAAAGCAGGCCCAAAATTTAAAGGAGTAAAACAGGACAAAAGAAAACAAGGTAAGAAAGTTGCCTGGATTCATAATTGGAACAAAGTGCTTGAGCAAAGATACAAAAGAATAGCTTGATGCAGAAATAGCAGCAAGATAACCATGTCTTGATGTTTCCAGCAGAGGTTTACTGACCTGCAACAGAGAACGTAGCATTTAACCAGTCATTAGTAAGCAGTAGCGTGGAATAGGGAAAAATGAGATTAAAAATGCTTAACCTCTGGCCCATTCGCAAGTGAGTGCACAAGGATGTCAATACTTCCAAAATCCTGCTTGACAGATTCAGCAACTTCCTGAAAGACCGTTACCAAATGAGTTGGAATGGGTAATGCCGGAATGCAACTCCATGGATCTGAGTTTAATAGGAAAGACGTTCCCTTTTGCTTGATAGGTGAACAGGAAAGATGTTCATAAGAGTACTAAAATCAAGATAAGCCTCCTATTAATTTCAAAACGAAGGTCCATAACCCTGAAAAATTAGATAAATCAATATATAGCTAGACGCTTAGAGATAAGCCTCAACATGGTCATCAGATGGGTTAATTGGGAAAAGTACCTGTTTACCTAGAAAGCCATTAACAGTTCAGTCTCCAAGAAGTTCCCCGCAAACGAATCACTCGATTTTTAAAATACTGATGAAACATGAGATAAAAATTAAGGGAGACATTCTACTCTTTAGGAGAGAAGAGAAGGTCAGAATCTAACTCGTTCCTGGAATTATCTCCGGACGCTGTTATCGGTTAGAGCAGTTCATTTCTTCCCTATCTCAAAGCACTAGAATTATTTTTTTCAAATAGCATGTCAACAAGCAGAAAAATACTTTACAGCTTTATGTTACAGATTCCAACAAGAACTGGAATTTGGACAAAGGATATACCTGGACAGTCCATTTTGCAGAACCTGCATAGCGCTTATTTGCCTTAATCTGGAGATCGCCACAAAAAAGAGCATAATTAATGGCACTATTTCACATATGGAGTAGTTTGTGGAAACTTCAAATAAGCAATTACATCTTCAGGAACATCCTCAGGATTGTCAAAAACAGCATCCAGTGGATAAACTTTGGTGATTTTCATTAAGGAACCATCTGGCAATCTGAAAAGTCACAATACAATACAATAAACTTAATCAGATACGACTGAAGACAAAATAATGCTGAAAGCACAAAAGGTTCGCTTACGCTCGTGATTCATCAAATTTCCCGCGCCTTAGGCTGCTCTCGAAAATATTTAGTGCCTGCAAATACACATCACTGAGTTCGGGTACTCTCAAGAGTTTGGAACAAAATAGGGACTGATGGCATGGAAACTTGATCTACGTATAAAATCCACATACCGGAACCCATGTACCAACAAGAATTTCGGCACCAGCAGCGGCAAGAGATTTCGCTATTGCCCAACCATATCCATTGTCATCGGCAACACCAGCAATAAAAGCTCTCTTGCCTGCAAATGTCATGATGCCATTAGGAAAGCCTCTTGTACCCTACACTCCTTTTTTTCATTTGTTTTTTGTGGCCAGAAGCCAAGCACTCGATGGTTGTCTCTTCATACTAAGCCAATAATTCAGCTGGTCTCACGCTTACTTTCACATAAGAACGAAAAAGAGCGGAGAAAAAGATGCAATACCTCTCAAGTCAACAGGCAACCCGGGCAAAGGGGTGCTTTCATTTGCACTGGACATAGCTCTAGTGACGACATTCCTGAAGGTTACCACCTTGGACGCGTGTTTCTGCGAGAACAAGTCCCTGGAGGAGATGTGAGAAGAGCTCGCGAGCTTCGCCCAACACGCTTCTCTCTGCTCCGCACCCAAAAAAGCTACGCACGGCCTGACTGCTGCTGATCTACGTAGAGCGACGCCCGGCTTCAGCGCAGCCATGTGCGTCCCAGGAGTCGCGGTCGCGGCCATATCCCCGGCAAATCAAACCCACGACAAATCGAGCAAAATTTCCTGCACATTTCCCGCGAGATTCATTAAAAACGACATCTTTTCAACCAGCTACCAGCGTCAAAAACGCAAGCACCTGGCATGCAGCGCGGAAATTCCAACACCCTCAAGACCAACACGAGACACGCGCACACCACACAACGCCCTAAGGCTCCCGACACGAAATGCCGCGCGATGACGACCGCATTTCGCCGGCACCGGCGCCGCGGCGGCGGGGATCAGACCCCCGGAAATGAGCGAACCGGCGAGAGTTCTCTTGATTGGGAGACACGGGGGGGGGGAGGACACTCACCTGTGGGATCGCCGAGGTTAGAGCCGGAGAGAACAATGTCCGAGAGAGAGAGAGATGGTGTATGGAGAAGGCGCCTGGGTCGGCCTGCGACGGGGGGAGTAAGAAATAGAGGAGGGGAGAGGGAAGAGGTTTTCGATGAAATCGAAGGTGGGTGCTTTGGCCCGTGGTGGTTCGTGTCTGTTGGGAAAACTTTGTAATCGCCGAAGGGCAATGAGAAAACCAGAGTCCTCTATTAAAAAAAAAAAAAAAACTGGTAAATTATTAAGTACCGAGCCTTGTTTGGTTGTCTGTTGGTTTGGGCATTCAATATACCACATAGAATTTACAATAAATTATACAGCGATTGACACGTGTTCATATCGGGCCCACCTGTCAGAAAATTGTCTCTCTCTCTCTCCTCTCTAAATCCTTCGCTCATCCCCGGTTCTCTCTCTCTAAAACCTTCGCTCATGCCCGACTCGCGACTAGCTCTGCTCTCTAGTCCAACGAGCCGCGCCACCGCCACCGCCACCGCCTCCGATCCATCTCCGGCGACAACTTCCGAGGTATTCAACCTCTGGGGACTCCGGAATCATGGGACTTATCGTACACGACGTAGAACCTGTCATCCTCGCCGACGACGCGAGAGTACCAATCGTCGACGCCGAAAGCCGGGGTCGAGCTCGTCTTCGGCTTGAAGACCAACCGCAGCAGCTTCTAGATCGACCGTGAGATTTGGGAGTGCTTCTTCGCCGTCGTCGAGGTCGCCGGTTGCGGCTGCTTAGGCGGAGGAGGAGGGGGAAGCCGCGGCGGTCATGGCAATGAGCATGGATAGGGTGCAGGCATAGATGGCGGAGTCGAGCTTGAAGGACTTGAGCTTGAAGAACTGTTTCGAGCGAAGGTTAGAGAGAAAGATGGGGGGTTGGGCTTGGGGCTGCAGAGAAGGAGAGCAAAGCGCATGAGAGAGATGGGAGAGAGAGACAATTTCCTGACGGGTGGGCCCGATATAGACACGTGTCGATCACTGTATGGTTTATTGCAAATCCTACGTGGTATATTGAATGCCCCTAATATTTTCTGGGTTTGGAGGGGAAAATAAAAGGAAAAGCAAAGAGGGTGAATTTTCAAAGTCTCGCTCACAGCTCGACCCGCCAAGTTTGGTAATTTGGTTAACCCCCCTCCCTCTTCATTGAGCCTAATGAGTCCACTCCTGTCTGTAGGTCATGTCGGCAGTGTGCAGCGAAATCCTAATACCTTCACCCAGGAGATCGCCAAGAGAGAGCCCATTGTTAGAATAATTAAATATTGCAATGGTCCCGCAAAATCTTATATGGAGCAGGAGGTCATGAGTTCAAATCTTTCCAGGCATCATTTGCCTCCCTAATTAAATATGTCAATGCTTAGTACTGGGCAAAAAGACCAGAATAAGCGTGAAACTCACACTGATCAACAAATTCAATTTGATCCACTTTCACTTAAAAGCTTAAGTCAATGAATTATGGGCCAACTTGATTATATTAACCGCTCCACATCGCATTAGTTTTCCGATGGGAGTGAGACTTCTCTCATACAACTCATACGTGCATTTCAACAGATCGAACCCGACAAACATGAACATAATGTTTAGCAGGAATTCGTAAAAATTTAGTCGAAGAAGAGGTTCGGAATCCGAGTCATCGAAATCGACTCGAGCCTCTCTCTTTCTTGATGGGGGGTTCTTCTTCCATAGATTGAGATGGCTTGTGAGAACGGATTTGTTCGCTGGCTCGACATTGCACTTTTGTTTAGATGTGCAGGTTGTTCGATGGATGCGGTTCGCTCTTCGGTTCAGCCCAACCAATTGGGCCTGGGCCTGGAGATTTGATAAGGCCTGATTTGAGCCCCTTAGGGCCCACTGGTGAGTCTACTTCGCAGCCCGTTTATACTTTCCTTGTAGATTCCGTATGCTTTGCAATGATCTGGATTCCCTTCATAATTTTATAGAGCGCAACGACATTTCTTCATCTTGTGATAGTTGGAGTAACTTTATCTTATTCTTTTCCTAGTGTCTAATGATCTGAGACTGAATAATTATGACCACGAGAATCGCATATTATGATGGGCTTCCTTCACCGATGCACGGCGATGATGCCCGATTTCTCCCGAGCTCTTCCGAGTCGGCTCGAGCCTTCCGGTGGACTGCGGCGAATTACGCGTTACAATAAAAGGAAGAGGCTGCCTTTTTGGGCTTGACTTCGGGAGGATTTTCCAATACTTAGGTCAATGAACAAGGGACGAGTGATCCAGGACAAAAAACTCGCATTCGCTTTTTCAGGATTTAGAGAAAGCAAGTGGATGCAAGTGGATTAAAGTGTTTGTCCAGAAAGCGATGCTATAACATGTCAAGCACCCAAGTAGTGCTTGCTTGACGAATAACCTTTGTTTTGGCTGTGTTTGATTTAGCTTTTGAAGAAAATCTTTGAGAAAATGCAAAGGACATTAGGTTAAAGGAGTTTTTTCGAAGTGCAAGTAGTATTTCATAAATTGTAATTTATAGGTGAATCGGAAAACGACTTTGATTTAAATGGTGTTTGAAAAATCACACTTTGTAAAGTACTTTTACTTTAAAAAAAAAACTCAAAACCAATGAAGGACTACAAGACTCCGGCGAGGCCAAATATGGTTGCCGGCGAGGCCAGATCTAGCGCCGTCAGCCTTGCTTGAGGTCGCCTGGAGTAGCACGACCTCAAGCGAGGCTGCTGACTTTAGGAACTAGCGCCGGTAGCCACATTTGGCCTTGTTGGAGTCTCGTCGGCAACCTGAACCCTCGCAGGTGATGTCGCTTGAGGTAGGGACATTTCTGGAATCATGAAAGTTTAGTGAGGGTAAAGTTAGAAGAAGAAAATATATTTGCATTCCGAAAATACTCAAAGTACCTTCAGACCTACCTTGAGTTAAAGGCATTTAGAGAACTTTGAAAATGCAATTGGATCTTCCTAAAGCTCTCCAAAAAAATTGTCAAACCATATTTGCCTTTGTCCAAAAGATTTTGGAGCCTAAAGCCTCTTAAGAAAGCAGTTCCCAAAGCTCCCTAGAAAAGTCGTTCCCAAAGGCCTTCATCCTTTAAGGGTTTTTCTCTGCACATAAGATGATTTTTACGAAACACCAGATTTGAGATTCTTGTTCCAAAGCATGATCGTTTCTATTCAAGCTTTATCCAGAAAGAACCTTGCTCCGCATGCTCTTTATATCCACAACTTTAGCCCGAACTGTTACTTCTCCTTTTGGGAGCTTTTTGTCCACTTTACATTTGATCTTCATGCTTTAAGATGAACGGCCAGTTCTGATCTGTTCAAGAGACAGATTCTCGAATCATAACAGGTTGTAACTCATTGTATTTTCGTACTTCGCAAGTAAAATACTGTAACACACCAAAACTAAAAGACCTTACAATCAACGAGTAAGATTTTTCGCTCGGACGGTTATCGAGGATTAGGAATCTGTTCTCCAAGATCCTTAGAAATGCACTAAGATTTTACCCACCCATGGATAGCTCAGTTGATTAGGGCGTACTTGGGATTGTGTGGTTAAGCGCACTGGTCCCAAGTTCGATTCCCCAGCTGAGCACTTGTGATTTAAGTGGGGGCCATGGGGGTGGGTTGCTGTGCAAGTCTCCCCCGATGAATAGTCGAGATGCGCGCAAGCTGGCCCGGACATCTCGGTTACAAAAAAAAAAAAAAAAAACCTTCCATAGAAGAGTGTATGATGCTATTTGTAGAGTAAATTCCTACGCGAGTACTTTCTTTGGCAACATAAAATGCTTTATAGGTGACACATATAATAATGTGTCAGAAGTTTAGTTTGAGCATAAATGAAGAAGAACAACTTACCTTCTTTCTATGGCGAGGAAAACCGTTTTAGGTAAGTATATTTCGGGCCCACGAAAGGCGGTGCTAGCTAACTTCATGTATTGGGTAATACTTGAGCCATAGTCCGTGTTAATAACAAGTTAAACATGAGATTGTTAGAACTTCAAAATAGCGAAAATCAGATATATGTTGTCCGCCTAATCGATACACGCATACATCATGCATGTGTTACCGGTCGATTGCTTGGGATCGGACCCGTATAGCGACTTAGACTTACTTGGATCATTGGAGCGCCTAAACCAAGCTTTTTCTCAATGGGTCAATCGCTCACTTGCTTAGCCAAATTGTAGAGAAAAGCTCCGGGAGAGAATGAAAAATGCTTTGATTCTTTGGATGATTCAAATGAGGCTGAGAACACCCTACTTATACAAAAACTCGACTGATTACATCCATTGATTGACTGTCGATGTAGCGGAGGAGATCGCATCTCCCCGTCCACCAACCATTGGCATTTATGTCGAGAATTCTCTAGAATATGGCACAATTACCGCATCGCTCATCCCTAGGAATGTTACAGAAGCTCTTGTATATTTGGTCCATTCTTTCTTGATCGTGTCACAGTTCTTGGCACATGGACACCTCGGGTCCGTGACACATGTATAGTAGGGAAACATGATAGGCATGCTCCGCCGAACCATGAAAATCCTCAATGTCAAATGTATTTTTTTTTTATTTCTTACTTGCATTGTTTACATATGTTCCATGATGCCGCCGTTCTGCATAACGCAAACTTTTGGACCTTTCCATAATCAGAATTGCCGCTTTGACCTCTCCTTAATTATTTGATGCTTGGGATATGCCTAAAACGTGGGATCCAAATTGTGAAAGGATTCGTCCTTCGAGATCTGTTTAAGATAAATCCAAACATAATGGCTAGAATAAAGAATTTTTCGTCTCCAGAAAATGGCGAAATCCCAAAATAATTCGTCAAATAATTGTTCTTTATTAAATAATATTGCCGTCTCGAGTTGTTAATACGAAACCGCTTGGCGTACGTAAAAATTTTACAAGATGATTTCCGAACCGTTCTTGAAAGTCTGAGCCGTGTGCAGCGAAGACGCGACTTAACATTTCTACGCTGTGACGCTCTCCCTCATTTGCATGTTAGGACTTGGTCTAAGACTAAAGCGCAAAAATTGACAATGAAAAGGGCAAATAAGGAACGCGGCAAGATCTAAACTCAAGACTTCTTACTCTAAAATGATATAAGATTTTAAGGGATTAACATCGTGCGATGGTTCTTCAAAGAGCTGCAACTTTTCAATGCAATGAAGAAACGAACGAACGAACGAACTTTTTTGACCAAAAAAAAATTGCAATAATGTGTGGTGGACTAAGTACGCTCCTCGTGG